CCCCTTATTTCTCTCTCTCACCCCCCCTCTCCCCCTTCTTTCTCCCCCTCCCCCCTACCTCCCTGTAGCGTGGCCGAGCCCTGTATGGTCCGCGGGTACAGGGAGCAGCTGTCTCCTGTACCCGTCGGACTATGCTGCAGTGAGGGAGCTGACAGGAGCGTTCCCTCCTGTCAGCCCCTCTCCTCAGGCTGCGCCCGGGCGGTGCGGTCCGCCCTCATGGACGCACCGCCCGGGCAAAGCTGCAGCCGCCTGAGGCTCAATACAGAGCGCTCGGGCGGCTGCAGCATGAGCGGGGCGGGGGGGCTGGCCATGGCACCCCCCACCCGGCTGGCACCCGGGGCGGACCGCCCCCCCGCCCCCCCCCCCCTTAGTACGCCACTGAACATAGCGATTGGGTCTCAGATGAACTAACGTTCCAAAACAGGTCTGAGGGCCGAACACATGGAGTACATGCTTTTTATAGAACTATAACTCCTCCCATTAATAGCACCACCCGCACATACCCTTAACCAATCAGTGGACAGGATTTGGATTTCCTTATATGGGCAGACCACATGGCTCATCCGAAACAAAGGAGAAAGGAATGTGATTTCAGTTCCTGCATTCCTGCACATGCTCAGTACATTGATGACAGTATCTTAGCTAAGTGTAACTAACTAACTGATACAACATACACATATGCCATGTGGAAATCTAGGCCTACTAAATTTACATTTCACCAAAATTCCATCACATTCCCCCCTTTGATGCCTCTAATACAAAATTATTCCAGATGCATCACCAATCATAGTTTACCAACACCTCTCAAGTAGCCATGGACCAGAACAGACCTTGTAAGCATCTTGGCATCATCACAAACTCCTTCAGCATTCCTCATCCTGAGTATGTTCTCTTTGGGCTAGGGATTCATATCTACAGACAGCCATTACATGAGCAGCTGTCTTTCTTTCTATAGTACTCTCTATGATACTACGTATAGATCTGACCACTAATGGAATTAGGCAGGGCAGAAAGAGACACATGAATATAATAAATACTACTCCTCCTACTAATGCCTTAATCCCTACAAGCTGATCATACCAACTTCCAAACCAACTACTAGGATTATACATATTCCAGACCTGAGTAGGTACATGCGTCAGTTTAACCATGTGGCTTGTAAGTTCAGCCACTGCCCGCCCTTCATCATCTATGTGCAAACAACAGTTGCTGAGATTAAACTTTCCGCATACACCTCCCTCTACTGCTAATAGGTAGTCCAGAGTTAATCTATTTTGATAGATGGCTGATCTCATCCAAGTATTTTGCTTAGCTAGAAGATTAAGTGCTTGAGCTGTCTCACTAGTGATAATCTCAACCACCGCCTGTAGTCTTATAATACGGTTGAGCATATATATTGGGGTTCTATATTCATAGGTACCATCTTCTGCCCAGGTAGCAGGTCCATAATAATTAATAATGTGTTGGGGAGGCCACTCATCATCTTCCCAGCTACCTATATTCAAGGATGCTTGCTTCTTTTTATGATTTACATCATAAACGTTAACTCCCAAGGTCTCTCCTGTCTCAATTGGCAACAGGAAGAAGGATGGTTTGAGCATACTTAATACACATGCCCCTTCCCAATCTTGTGGTAACTCTGAATATGCTTTCTTATCACAGATCCAATATAAATTCGCTGGGGCTTTCCAATTGGATGTAGCAGATAAGTCAAACCATACCTCTTTTAAATGGGTGTAATTGGCAAACGGATTAGTAGGCTCTGAGACATTTGAAGCTGACCACCAAGTAGTATCTTTAATATCGTCATTATAGGCTTTCTGTACTAGACATATTAACTCGCCATCAGGTGTGGTATACAATGGCCCTTTCCTGGCTAAACATACATGACCTATAATGGAGGTTTTTAACCACCACTCTGATTTACCTCTGGTACTTACTTGATGATCAGACTATTATTACTAGTATTTGTTGTTCATCTGTCTCAGAACCAGGGTACCATACTTCCTTTGCCTCCCATGGCCACTGGTCTCCCATATTAGTACCTCCACATACAAAGCAATTAGTTACATTAAGACTACCCGCAATACTCTCAGCCAAATCAATAAATAGGTTCTTAACATTATGGGGAATTTTATCCTCAACACTCATCTCCTCATAGAAGGAATGAAAAACCTGATGAGTTTGAGTTGCTATAGTCTCAGCTTCAAGTCCTACATATATTATGGTCCCTGGATCTACTCCTGTGCCATATATTTGGAACCCAAATAGATTTCCAAACTTATCAATAAAATGTTGTGGATTAGAGATGGTCATATGGACAGGATTACATTCCATAGACTTACAGTGTGGTGTAGTGGGCAACCTTTGGATAATCATATTGCCCACCCTACACAAGACCAATATGGACAAAAATTAAAATCCCTATTTGGGCAATCAGGATCAGTAGATCTTTAACTGGGACATACATAATTATCATTAAACCCATAAGTTCGTTCCCATTTAAGATTACCACATACATTCCAAGGTTTTCCACTACCAGAGATCGCCTTACATGCATCAAATAGTAGAATGCCCGTAGAATGTATGGTATTTATCACAGTCCTATTTATCAAGGTCCCCTGGGAGTTACTGTTCCGAATTACCAACCAAATTGTACGGGGTTGGAATTGGGGATCAAAACATTTAAGTTCTCCTGATATTGGTTTGCACACACTGTAATCTATATCTAAATATCTACATTTAGATACAGACCCCCTACACTCATACTGTGAGTGCCAAATGAGAGTTTGGGATATTTGGTTACATGTTTTCATAGTCTTAATGCAGCTAACACAACTCTGTATGTCCTCACCGTTACCTTCCTGAAAAATCACAAAAATGCCTAAACACATAATAGAACATATTATTTCAGAAGTCCTTATTTCTACTCTTCGACCGTGCGACGGCACCTCAGCTTCCCGATTGTGAGGACTGCAAGGATTGTCGT